ACACAAGCCCTGACCCTTATGTTGAACATGTATGAGAGAAGGAAACACTGAGACTCAAATGCAAAGGATAACAAGAAAAGAAAGCACTGCTAAGGTGTGCTTAAAAATACACTTTAAATCCCTGCTTGTGGCACTGATGTCCCTGTGCAGAAACAGGAGCAAACATGAATGCCAATCAACCAACACATCAGTTGTATAATTGATTTAATCCTTTTATTTCTCAAGAGCATCCGTGAATGATGTTCTCAACAGTGAGGTCTCTCTGTTTCTCAGCCACTATGTTGTGGTACAGTTTGCAGTGGAGTTTTCCTTGTTCAGGCTCAGTGAAAGCAGCCTTGGAGAATACTACTTGGTTGTCCCGGTTAACCTCCACTCCGTACTCCTGACAGAGTCGGGCTGTGAGTGATGTGTCTAAGAACAAGAGCTGACCCAGTCCATGAAGAGGAAAGCGACAGTTGCGACTGTTGTATCCGTGGCTGTATATTAGCAGCAGATCTCTACGACATGTCATCAGGTGACGGTGCAGAGCACAGCTCTGCAGGAAGTTCAACCTCTGGGCCAATCGGAGCAAACGTATGGGGTTCTGCTCCAGAAAAGCTCGGTTTATGGAAAGAGCAAGTGTGATGGCAGGAGAGCTGCGAAGTCGCTCAGGGAGCTCCATGATGTGCTGTGTGGCACGAGCTGAACCTGGGGGGGATGGGGAAAAAAAGAGAGCAAGCATGAAGAAATGATCCTGATCATGGCACATAAAGAAACACCTTACTTTATTTTATAATTTAGTCAGAGGACTGCTGAAGACAGATCTCTGCATCAATAGCCTGCCTGCGCAATTGATATGATGCTTAACCACACATGCAAATCAAAAACTTGCATGAAATAATAAAAAACAGTGACCAACCCAAGTTGTACAGCAGACCAAGAGCCTGGAACTCTTCCTGGTTGGGATGTGGCCCTTTTTCAGTTGCATAGCAGTCCAACAGCCAGCTCAGATTCTCCTGTAGGTGTGTGTCGTTAATGCACGGGTCATAGAGCCGCAGGGGCTCACCACAAAGCCGATAAGAGGCGTAGATCAGGAACCGCACTGTTCGCTCTAAAATGGCCACACAGTTCTCCCCAGACACCCTCTGGATGATCATGTCCTGCTTCACGCCACGCAGTCGATCAAATACAAAGCCGTACACCTGTAGGGCAAGATAAATGTGTTATTATATGTTGTGAAGATTTTTTTCTATGTACTCATTATTGCAACTTTAATATTACTGAATTATTACTGGGCTATGACAAATATGCCACATCAGAATCAAAGTTACTAGCTTTGGCCGAGATCCTCAAATTCTGATGTTTCATTTTAGTTTTTCTGCAAAAGATATTTACAAAAATGATATGGCCACTGGTCGCTGAAAGTTTTTCCAGTTTGTCAGGCACCATAACACACAGCTTGTGCTATGTAAAGAAAGTGCTGCAGTTTGTGTTCAAAAGCCAAATATTTAGTCACTGCTATATGCTCATTTTTATGTCTTTTTGGTACTTTAAAGAACAGTTTGTTAGACACATGAGGTTTTGGAGGATGTTTACATGAAGTTGTGTTGGCTTAGCGCCTGTGTGCATACTAGTGAAGTCAAGCGTAACCAATGTTTTAACTGCCATTAGGGATGTGTAGATGATGCTAAAAGTTACAATTCTAAGTGACCAATCCCCTTAATATACAAGTTAGTTTTTCTTGACTACACTCTAACAATAGTAGAAACAGTGACTGGAGAAACACTACTAGCCTCAGTCCAGGGATGCAGGTGAGGGGAGGCAGCGACGTCATCAATAAGGTAATGCACAGTTTTCAGCAGCACAGCAGGTGGACGGAGGTCAGTGGGGATTGTGGAGTCTTTCCCAGCTGCTGGTCTGGAATACTCTTTGACAGCACGCAAGGGGTCTCCCTTGGGCTGTCGATCTCTTTCTGTGCCTGCCAACATCTCAAAATGGTGAAGGCGGTACTGTGCCTCACGGGCCCGCAGCTCACGAGCAGGGCACATGGTTTGGCAGGTTCCCCTGGGCACGGTCTCTTTCCCATGCTGCTCACATCTCTCATCCTCCTCCACCTCTCTCCCCCTTGCTTTGACATGGCCTCGCCATTGCTCTTCACTCCTCTGTCTCCATTGTCCTCCTGCTGATGCACCCCTCCTCTGCGGGTGAGAGCTGCGTGAAAGAAACAGGTTGTTCACTGAAAATGTAATCCCATAGGAATCAGATATAAGTATACACAATAACAGCTTGTTTTCTTGTGTGGTGGCCCTCATTGACATCTAACAACAACCTGTAACGACTGACACATAACCGCTATACTGATCAGCCACAACATTAAAACAGCTGGCAGGTGAAATGGATAACATTGATCATCTCATTACAATGCAATGTTCTTCTTGGGTCCTGGCATTCATGTGGATGCTACTTGACACACACCACCCACCTAAAACACTGGTGCACACAAAGTAACCCCCCCTTGTGGCAACAGCACTCCCCAGTGGCAGAGCTCAAGGTGTCGACGTGGCCTACAGATTCCCCAGATCCAAATCCAGTCGAGCATCTGTGGGACGTGCCGATACCCCACCTCTGCCTTGCAATCCACAAGACTCTGCCACCCACATCCTGGTGCCAGACACCACAGGACACCCTACGGACATCCTGTGTCTATGCCTCACCAGGTCAGAGAACCCCACCGCAAATCAGACTTGACTAAAACCTCTCATGGCATGTAAAAAGGACTTCTGATGTACCAGCTCATCCCATTAGTGCTCAATAGGATTGGGATCTGGGGAATTTGGAGACCAGGTCGACGCCTTGAGCTCTTTGTGGAGTTCACATCAGGGGGTGCCATTACTATGAGGGGGTGAAGATGGTCTGCAACTGTGTTTGGGTGAGTGGCGTATGTAAAGTGGCATTCATATGCATACCAGGACACAAGGTTTCTTGGCAGCATATTGCATTGCAATGAGATAATCAACGATCTTCACTTACACGGTCAGTGGTTTTTAAGTTGTGGCTAATCAGTGTATGTTTAACTGTACTCAGTTCTTATCTAAGAGGTGTGGCTACCCTTTTCCCCTGTAGTTCTACATTTCTTTGTGCAACACACCTGACTTAAAAGCTTCCGTTGTCTTACGTTATGCAGAGTGCACAATGCTATATTACTTTCCACCTTCTATTGCTTTTTCCCCTCCTTCTTAAGTCATTGATTGACAAAACAAGAAGCATTCAACTTATGGGCGTACCACCACCTACCAGTGTTTGAGTTAAGTTTGGGTTTACGTTAGGTGTTGAGATAAATCCTTACAAACTTTGTAAGAGAAATGAATCTGCAATGGACAAACCGTTAGCAAACGGTTTAAACAAAGCTATCATGCTAGCTCTATCCGAAACCTTTGTTTTCGCCGTCTTTTCTAAAGCAACAGAACAACGCACACAATAGCAACGTTTCACCAGTTAGTAGCTGGTAACTACTGTAACGTTACCGTACTGGTAGCTGTAAGAAGCTACTGGCAACTGTACGAACTCACCAGGCGGCAGTTGTTAGCTTGCTCCGTCAGTTAGCTAGCTAACAACGACAGATATCGCGCGAATGGCGTCTCTACTATCGAAGAATATTCAAGTTAGATGAACCAAATTGTCAAGATACGATAGAAAACTTGGCTAGGGATGTAATTTTCTGGGAAATGGTTAATAAATGTGAAATAAACTCCGTGTACTCACATGCGACGAGGCGCTCTCCTCCGGTTCATTGGTCCTTCAGAAAAGACCGCTCGTCACTTTCCAGCATCAGCCAATAAAAATGCGTCATCGTTGTTTTGATGCAACGTCACATCCGGAGTTGGACACAATACTTTACACACAGTGAAAAGGCACGGCCCTTGACTTAAGTTATACATATTGTACTACGTATCTTTAACCATTTCCAAACATGTGAAAAAAACAAACCACAGTTTGGGCCTCTCGTGTTAAATTCACTTGTAAAACACACGAGGCACGAGCTGGGGACAGACAGCAGAATTCATTCATAAAACTGGACTTCACACTTGTAAATCAAATCATTATCAATGAATGTGTGAGTGTTCTCTCTTATCAAGCAAAAATAAATCTGACATGTATTCATACTTGTCCATGCCCTCCAACTCTGCTCACATACTTATTTCCCCAGAACCAAGACTCCTTATATATCCTCCTAAGACCTCAGCTTCTGTTCTGGTCTGCATTTTTAATGTCTCTGAGCTGTTTGGGATCAGAAAGACCTGATAAGTATACAAAACTAAACATTGTCTTTGAACAGGAGGTAGTTTTGGAGAAAAACAAAGATATGTGAGGAGACTGGGGTTATTTGTCATTGTCACAGTGTGTAATAAAGTATATAACAGTTTATTTAAAATGTATGGATGTTGTGCAAAGACTAAATTACAAAGAATGCACCATATCTAAAAGTATTGTGATTTGTTCATTTGTAAGTCTGGATGAATTTTCCTTGTTCCATCCTCCAAGCAAGAAATGTCCTTTTGTCTGTAGAGACAATCTGTCACACCTAATTAGTCAAAATGTCCTCAAATGAGACAATTGTTAAAGCTTGTTGCTGTTGCTAAAATTGGTGAATGTGTTAGCATATCAAACTACATACATTATTAATCATAAATTAACAATTTTCAACCATATAATGTGATCAGGTTTTGTACCTTGTCCACTTCTGTGTCAGGATTGGCTGCAGACTGACTTGGCAGAGATGGCTGCCATGTTGTTTTTACATGGATTAGTGTATCATGGTCTTACTACGGCTCATAGTGTCCACGCACAAAGACAACAGGTCTAAGTTAGGAAGAATGAAATACAAGGTGCAGCAAATGTCCTCATGAGGATGCAGGGTCTCAGGAGGACATTAAGGTATTTTTTGCAGCTGTATTTAACACATCATAAAACAGGAATATCCCCCTCTTGCATATTGTTGCTTCTCACTTAAATGGCCATGCTGATTGTTCCATTTTATATTTTATTATTTTTTTGTTGTTGTATTTATTACCAATGTTCCATCTATAAAACAGTATCAGTCATTATCCAACATTTACAATATCTTATAATACAGCTGCAAAGAAATCAGACAAGACACAAACGCTACAAATATATGCAAACTGGGAAGATTTGGGGTTGAGGGGTATCCAAAGTGCATGTACTGTGTATCCCATGCTGTGTGCTGTCCTTCACTGTTTGGGGCAGAAGAGCTTGTGGGTTCTTGCAGTGCCAAGCTGTTCTTCCTCAGCGGCCTGCTGGACATGGACTGTGTGGCGGCAGATCAATGATGACAGCTCCAGCAGCTCTGAAAATGTACTAGAAAAATGGAAAACACCCAAGTTTGAGCACAAGTGTAACCTCGTCAGGCAGGATGCATTTTAGGTGCTACTGAATACCATTGAGTGCCAATATTCAACTCTTTAAAAGGTCGAGTGTGTAGGATCTAGGAGCATCTATTGGCAGGAATGGTATGTAATATTCATAACTGTTTTCAGACCTACAAAATAAGAAGTGTTGTGTTTTCCAGACCTTAGTAGTTCTCCTACATGCTTGGCACACAGAAGAAGTTTCAATTCTGCATCCTCAATGCTAGATGCCACTAAATCTTTCACACTGGACCTTTAAAACTATCTTGTTTCAACTACGTAAATATGAAATTTCTTTAAGGATGACTTGTGTCATACAGTGCATTTCTCTGGATAGGGACAAAAGAGGAATAAATCAACACGTTGACACAAAGCAGATCATAGATTTACAGTATCCCCAGCTTCCAAATGACAAGTTCTCTTCAGTATGTGCCTACCCTGACAGCTGCTGACTGATGTCCTTTGATGTTGTTTTCATGTCCCTAAGGCACTCAAGGGAAGTGCTGTTGTCCGTATGATCTCCCTCTGTGCACTCCATCAGCAGCTTCTCACTGTCCTTCAGGCAAGCCTCCGCTTTATCTGAAATGTGTAGATACAGGTGCATGTGATTATAACAATATTTATCATCAAGTTAAAGCTTCCTGCAAAATACATATATGTCATTTGGCGTTTACAGGAGCAATCAGTGGTTAGGTTACATAAAATAATTTAAAAAGCCAGAAGCACATTGTTTAAAATCAAATTTCTTTTGTGAGGACCATAAGAACCATCTTCATGAGTTCCTGCAGCACATAAATATCTGCTGTAAACCAGAATAATTCTGATTGTTTGTACTGCATTTGTTTTGTCTCTGCTTATCTCATAGGTTTGGAGTGGACAGGATTGTGTTGGAGAAGGGTGCTATAAGATATTTCCATGCACCAATTAAAATTTACCTATTTAAAGATAAACTACGCATATACAGATATACCTTTCCTCGAAAACAATGTATAGTCTCATACAAAAGTAATCCTGCTCAGTCCTCAGTTATGACTCACTAGAAGTGTGTGTCAGTGTGTTTTTCTGTAGAGACTCTGCCCTCTTTCTTATTGTCTGTGTGTGGGACATTTATGGGTGGGTATCCCCACAGTGCTCAGCTGAGTTTGGGGGCTTTACAAAAAGGTAGCAACCAAGTATTAGACTTTTAACAGCAGCCATCCAAGAGACACAGAGCCAAAAAAAGTTAAATATAGGGAGACAAAAAGCCTAACGAGAGTAAATCTGGGCCTGGCTTTTACTTTCACCTCTACTAGCAAGCACATTTACAAATAGTGCCTGACAATCCTGCATAGTATACCTTTAATAATTAGCATCAGATTATAGTTGTTGTGTTACAGTGGCAGAGTTAATCTGATCGAAACATTTATACACAGTTCGGATGAAGCAGATTAGCTGAGTTTTTGAGTATTAAAGTAAATTACTGATGATTAACAATGCTGTTTTGGACAACCTTTTTTGAAATAACTTTTGAAACATAGTGACAACAACCTAAAAACTCCATTCTGTCGCTATCAATGTAGAAATTCTTGACAGGCAGCTCATGTCGGGTGGTGTCAACAGCTGTGGCAAAAGACTTGTAATCCTTTGTGAACTGCCTGGCAGTTTCTGCTACTGGAGTCAGAGCAGCAATCTGAAGGAAAAGAATAACATTAGTGAGACGAGAATCATGTAGCCATACTTGTTTTTATACACAGTTTACACATTTTTTTCATTTTCAAAATACAAACCAACTATTCAACAGCTGTTTTGATCATACAATACCATCAATCAGCACAGATGCGACCCAGTAAGCTTTAATGAAGTATGAACATGCAATAGCAGCAAAGTATCTCCAATGATAAATGTCTGTGTGTTATGATACTCCATCATACAATGGACATTTTTAATATGTATGTTATGTAAGAAACATTTTCCAGTTATAAGTTTGTTGCTTGGCAATATGGTGATGATTACATTATGTGTGTCACTAAAATCCTGACCATTGACACTGTAAAAAAACGAAATTCATGTTCTTCTTTCACTTGGCTTTTACAGCATGCAATAACAATTTTTAAGATAGACCAAACATCAAAAAGGTCCTCAAAGGATGATTTCCTGACCTGTAAATCCAGCAGCTCATTCGTTAGCCTGTTTTTCTCCATGAGGAGGTACTGACGCTTTTTCTCCTGGACCTCATTATGAAGCGCCTCCTCTTCCTCCATCTCCTGCATGATTCTTGCCTCTGCCTCAGCCTTGAGCTTTGCAGTATTGCTCTCCATCTTATGTCACACATCAAAGAGACAGAGCCAGATGAATCACAGCATGGGACTCAGACAAGTGGTTTATTCCCCACAGAGCACAGAGGACAATTCACTAAAAACTACTTAGACACAATGTTTCATTTAAAATGTTGTACTCTCTAATGTCCTCTGATTTAACAAAGCAGATGTATTAAAAACAAGGTTTTAGCATATCAGATACACTTATATGTTAGACACATTTACCTTAGCTGTGAGGTAGGCCAGTAGGAATGTTTGCATTTCAACAATCCTCTTCTCATTCTCTGGATGTTTCTCCGGCTCGACTGCATTTTCAAGCACCGTTTTTTCTGAGAGAGATAGAAAAAGAACGGTTACACGATAATCTCATTTGAAAGTTATTTCAAGCATTTTAAGAGTTAAAATCATTTTACCTTTAATGACTGAAATATCAAACTCTGGGCGAAAGCAGTGTCCATCTGAGAAAGTGGACTGCAGAATACTTCTCCCAAGCAGTGAGGGCTCAGTTGTGTTTGACATCATTGCTGTGAGAAAGATAACATGAACATAATGCAAAAGTTATTCATAGAACTCATTTAGACAATGTCACAGACTCAATCAGAACTCAAGGAAAATGGGTGAATAAAAAGATATTTGCATTGCTGGGTTTCACTGCAAGATTTCAACAACTGATTCAACTCATAGGGCACACTACAATTACCATGCTCATTCATGAAAAACTACAAATACACATTCACAGTTATCACCATAGGAAGCACTTACATGTTGCTAGAGCCTGTGGGGCCAGTGAGCGTCTTGGTGGAGTGCCCACCCTCGGTTTGGTACCACTGGGCTTAGGCGAGGAAGGCCTTGGTGGTGCAGCCATCGACTCATTGGTCAGCGAGTTACTCTGTTAATGGGTACACAGGTGCGATGAGATACAAATGTGTAATATCAAAAGTGAGACAACAACAGACACCTGAACTGCATAGACACAGGGGAGGCAGAATTTTAGTAACTATTTAAACACTTAATAGCAGATTGGTATCTTAGGTCCATTTACAATATGTAGCGTAGTTGGATTACCATGAGTGAAATACATATATGTTACATTAAAGCATCAAACCAAAAACCTGTAAAAGTAAAAAATAGCTATGGATATGGGGGGATATGGTTCTGTTAATGTGAACCACTACAAGAAACACTTTATTCTATTTGCCAGCACCGCAGTGAAAAAATGCTTACTAATTAGTTGGAAATCAAAAGATGCTCAATATTATAAGGAAAAAACCCTCAACCTTTCAGAAAAGTTGGGGTCCCTTTATCAACATTCTGCCTTCTTTGGATTTAGCCGACCACAGGGATGCGACTCTTCCTGGACCAACCTTAACTTAAACTTTTATATTGATTTTGTTAAACAGTCTTTCCTATCCATATGACATAAATGGAGAACCACACAGGGGTGGTGGTGGGGGGTGGATGCTGAACAACATCCTGTTTTTTTCCCGCAGTTTCTGATCCATTTGTAAGTTTATTAACATACGTTTGTATGTAGAAATGTCCCATAGGTTTATCTTTAGTACAACCTCTCTGTATTTATACTTAATGAACAGCATTTTTCCTCACTGTAATTTGTTAATAAAACCAAATCTTTGCTTAAAAAAAAAGTAAAAATAAAATAGCATTACCTTTGAAAGAGATGTCTTCTCAGCAGACTGCATGTATCGAGACTTGACAATAGTCCCACTTGCTAAAGATTGATGAAAAGATTCACAAAGAAAGAAAAACTTAAGAAATAAACCAAGCTCAGTTTAGCCTAATTCAACATTTTTGACTGTGTATGATTCATACCACCAATGTAATATCAGCTGCAAATTCCCTTAAAAAGGGAATAGTTTTGTTTCAGAATTCAAACATGGTACAAAAGATGCCAGTCAAAATGAGCATATTCACAACAACTACCTTGCAAAGACATCTGTGATATTGATTTTTATTATTAAGCTTTGCACAAATCAGTGTACATCAGTTTCAAGTTGGAGTGCCACTTTAAGCTAACTGTCGCAGAGAGACGTTGGAAAGACAGTTTTAAACACTGGAGAAAGACTTAATGGGAATTGTTGACATGAGGCTAACTGTAAGTCATGTCTGATAAGGGACATTATAACTCAAACTAACTAACATGAGTGAATCCACACAAATACTTACATTTAGCAGTTTTCTTCCCATTCCCACTGACGTTGGATTTATTAGCATTGTTTCCACTTTTCGAGCTAAAAATAAACAAAAAAAGTAGCAAGGGAATTCAATAATGTCGACATGAGAGCACAAATAACGAAGCTGGTTTATATTTATAGAAGAGGCTAAACCGGAAGCTGAGCTGTAACGTTAATGTTAGCTTAAACTTGCTACCGATAAATGACATTATTGTTACGACTAACAAGAACATAAAAGCGTATACATATATTTGCTTTTATAGTCTAGTGATACTAATTAATCGTATGTCTGGTCCAGAAGTGTAAAATGTAAATGTCAGCTAAATAAAGCACTACAATGTAACTTAACGGCGTCTGTATTCAAACGGCTCCTCTCTAACGTTACAAATTGTAACTGGCCAAAAACATGCAAATGACACGACACTCGCTTACAATGAAGAAAAAATACAACAAAGTCTACCTTTTGGCGTCAGTGGAGGTACTTTTTAAACTACTTGGCAGTGCTGAAGTTCTTCTCGACGCCATAATGTTTTGAAGCAAACCGCCTGTACGCCAGTTTGGTCAACCGTCAGAAACAAGAGGTGATACAATGGTTCCGCCCTGCTTCTTATTTGCCCATCTGTGGCTGACTGCAAAGCAACACTGACAGTGTAGGCTGACCTCTGCTGTTGTGGGGTGTCTGCAGTCAGAGTCTTGGTACTAAATTATACTATTATTACAGTGTTTATAAATAAACAACAGTTGAAGATGCCCCTCTTGAGAACAAAATCAATTTACTGTAAAGTTAAAAAAAAAAGTTTGGATATGACTTTAGCATGTGCAGAATGATGATGCATAAACCAATACACTGTTGGGAGAATGAATTAGTACAGTAGCTGAATTTCTTGTTATAGCACAAAAATAAAAATCGTATAAAGAGACATATTGCCCGGAGCCATCAAAATGAGCCATCTAACTAAATAAATCAAATTAAAACCCCACCCTGACCCGATAATGGGTTATCTATATCTATAAGCCTTGTAGCCTTTTATCCAGGCTAATTATTTTAATTTCAGGATATCTTCCTCCAGCAAGGTTGCTCAAAAAGTTGGCTAATTCCAGATATGCTAATAATTGGTGGCTAGCTAATAATGCTAGCAAAGTGTTGAAACTACAAAACTATACCACCACTATATGTAGATATAAACTATATAAAATCACAAATAACTATAGACTAGATAATCTAACTAGGCCTAAATAATACTTTGAGACAGGACGCCTCTGGGGGTTTTCTCCCCCTTTTCTGAGGGGGCATTTCCCCAAAGGATCTTACTCAAGGCTACATTTTTACTTTAAAGGAGAGAAATCTTTGAATGAGTCTCCCAACAAATCCCCAAACAACATATATAGACTATATCAAAGCTTTTTTTTTATGTGCAACCTAATATAAGTACATAGATTTTTGAGTGACAAGTAATAAGATCAGTTCACAAAAAACAGTTCTGGTGGAATATCTCTAGATAGCAGCAATTCAGATGAAATGTCACATTTCACTGTAGCACAGCCATTCAATACATGTGTTGGGAGTAGATTTAGTGCCATATATTGGCATAAATATGATATACTGTTATAGCCTATAGCCTAGATGAAGCTACACAGCGTTAATATATATATGAAGTAAATAAAATTAGACCCACTTTTATCAGCAGCAACATTAAAGTGGTATGCACATTTCTAATTAGAATCCAGTAATATAAATCATTCTGAAATGGGCCGTTCAGTATAATGAGTACTATTACTTTTTGTACTTTAAGTACATTTTTATGCTAATAATTTTGTACATTACACAAGTAGCCTAACATTTGAATGCAGGGCATTTACTTGTGACACAGTATGTCTACATTGTGGTATTGCTACTTTTACTTAAGTAAAAGATCTAAGTACTTCTTCTACCACTGTAAATAAATAAATAAATAAAAAAATACTAATCTTGTTTCTCCAGTCGAGATACATCCTCATCAAGTGTTCCTTCACTGAGCAACCATTTAAAAGTCCATTGCTGCTCCTCTTTGTTCCAGTCCATGGTGGACTTGTCAGATTAAATCATGCTGCAGCTTGCTTCATTCATACCAGCAACAGTCCTGGTTAAATATACACTGTACTGATTATTTGATCACTTATAGTCTGAAAAAGAAAACCCAAGTTATTTTTTTAATATCTCAGTTATTATTTCTCTTGAGAGGCTGTCCTTTCCAACTGTTTGAGAATGACCTGATCCCTGATTGTGGCTTTAAATATATCTCTTTTATTTATGGTCATATTTTTGTTGTCAGTTCTGCATTACTTTGGATGTAGTCAGTATGTAAGGTTTTCTTGCCCTGTCTTCTTCTACAGTGATGTTTCCTTGCTCATATAGGGCACATGCATAATAATATGAACACCTGTACCTAACTGATTACGACCATGGTGTTGTCTTTTTTTCAGTGAAATTGCAACAGAGAGGGGCTGATTGATATATCCTGGACTTCTGCATTATAATGTGCAGGTGCTCATATCATTGCATCCAGAACAGGGGCCCCAATCAAAAATTTATGTTGGAGAAAGAATGCAACATCTGCTTTGCATTGACGCCAAGGGGATTTCATAAACTACAGTTGTTCTAGTGACCACTAGATGGGTGTAAAGGTCTGCATTCACTGTCAGTGTCCAGTGAGATGAGAACAAAATACTTTCAGTCTATATAAACTACACTGAAGATTATGTCTCAATCTAATGTGCTGACTGAAAACAAAACCAAAATACATTTATATATGTATTCACGCTGTTTATAATGTATTCCCTTGTCAGTGTCATGAGGTGGTTGAAGTCAAACCCAGCCAACACTGCATGGTCGTGTAAACACTGAGCAGGTAACTACAACATCACAGGGAAAACAGAAATGCATCCAGTCCACCTAAACCCAGAGGTATCCCACATCGTCACATTGGAGTCTTTTTTATTTGCTGTTGAAAACCAGTGTAGATTATAACCACTTACGTGCATCTACCTGCATGTGTGCGTCTTCGTCCCACATGTGTGGGTATCTGCTTAGTGAGTTCTCTTTCCTGTAGTTTACGGGTTGTCTGTGTGCACAAGTCTTAAGGAATATAATGGGTGCTGATCCCACCTGTCTGAGCTGGTCTTGCATATCGGGAAGGACAATGTGAGGACAGTGGGTGTGGGACTGGGTGGTAAACACTAGCCGGCAACTTCTGTCCTAAATCACGTCCCCAGACATGGATGGATAAACTACAGGGGTAGAGAGAGAAAGAATCCTATTGGCTTGTAAAGGGTGGTGAGTTTTAACATCTGCACGGTGTCCTGCAGTATAACATAATAGTATTTTAAATATAGGCTATCTTTTTAAAACAGTAATTAAATTAGATTTTTATGAAGTGCGTTTGCTGGATAACATCCAGGTACTGAGTTTTATTTTGACCTTTCTGCTTTAATGAATTTTCATGATAAAGGTTGAACATTAGGGCTTGGCACTAAAACAAATCTCTCACAAATACATGCCTGTATTTGTATGTGTGTGTGTGTGCCAAGCATGTGATGTGATGTGATGTGTGTGTGTGTGTGTGTGTGTGTGTCCTACTTTATCAGTCTGTGTAAAGGCCGGGTCTTATCATTGCTCTCCTCTCTTTCTCTCTCTCAGTGTAATAAAGCCCTGAGGCTGTGTGTCCGCATGCTGGCTGTCCATCTCTCACCACCAAGCAATGCCAGGACCAATAGCTGCCTTTGAGGTGGAAAACAAGTGCCGTTGATGATGGTGATACGTGCAGTACGGACTCTTTTGGATTCAGTCAGTAAAACTTGGTTTAAGTAATAGATTTTTTTTTTTTTTTTTTTTTTACTAAAAAGGTGCTTTCCTTTTCCTTTGCTCAGGAGTAAAGGGTGAAATCCTGAAAGGCTGAGGAGCTGAAGTAAAAGAGTGAGAAGTGCACGTTGAAAGACAGCGCTATAAGGATACATGGAGTCACTGAATGAAAGTCCTTGTCTCTCTTTCTCTCTGCTCCGAAACTCTGACGTCTAACGAAGGATTTGTCTATGTCACTGTGACCTCACTGATACTCTGCTTTGCCACTTTAGGATATTTCAGCGTGATAAAAGAGCAAGATGAAACAGCTTTAATTCATATTCTGAAAGTGACGGAAAGTTGTTGTCAGCTCCTCTAACACATGTATGTACACACGATTACACACACACAGACAACCCTCCCATGCAGCCCACACACCAGCCTTCCTTCCCTTTGCGGTAAGCTGTTACTCATCACTGCCCAGTCTGCCAGTCTGGTCCACATAGCCTTCCAGGAATGCCTCAAATACACAGTGCCTCATGTAGAAAAGCCAACAGGCAGTATTTACAGCATTCTGTTGGATATCTGAGGTAAATCACAAGGCTCTACTGCTTTTGCTTGTGGGTATATGTTTTCATTACCTCCACCAAGGAGGTTATGTTTTTGGTTCAGGTTGTTAGTTTGTCAGCAGGATTATGCAAAATTGGCAGGCCAATATAAAATTTTCGTGTGGATCTGAATGACACGGCGGATACACAAATTATTTTTCACTTTTGTTAACACTGCGAGAAAGGGTGCTTGGCCATGGCAGAGGTCTGTGCTCTCCAAGTGCCCCTCTAGTTTCTTGAAAATTTAAAGGAGCAGTGTGTAGGATTTAGTGGCATCTACCAGTGATGACTGCAGATTGCAACCAACTGAAACTTCTGGCATGTGCCAAGCATGAACTCCCAGTTAAGATTCATCTGCTTACTACGGTGGCTGACATGAAAACATGAATGGCCCTAGATCAAGTGTTTGGTTTGTCCATTTTGGGCTACTGTAGAAATGTGGTGAGGACTCACCCCTATATAGATATAAGCAGCTCATTCTAATGTAACGAAAACATGATGATTATACACTAAAGAAAACATACTCATCATATTTCACTTATGCCAACTAACCACCCTAAATCCTATATGCTGGACCTTTAAGAATTGAATTTAAGAACTTAAGTATTGGCTACCTCTGCTCTCCAGAGTAGACAGGTGTATGATTTCCACTGTTTGCTCTTGCCTAGGTGGCTCTTGTTGCAGAGAGAACCTAATACAAGACCCAACCACTCAGCCAGGAGCTCCCAGTACTAAGTAGTTAAGCTCCTCTCTGTTGGCTGACCATAGTAAGCAGTGGGGCATTAGGACAATGTTTACACCTTACCTTCACACTGTCTGGGCGGCTCTGCTGGTCATTTTGTCCCTTTTAAATCTCCATACTCAAAGACTTTGGGCGTATCACGTTGGGTATTTACTAATGACAGCAAGAGAAGCTATAAATTAATGCACAAATAATAATTCTCACAGAAAATCAACACCCTTCAACACTGGAATTAGCTGTGTAAGAATATGTTTTTAAAGGAAGAGTTTGACATTTTGGAAAATAGGCATATTTCCTTTGTGGTTGAGAGTTAGATGGGAAGATTGACACCATTCTTGATTCATGTCTATCCATTTAATATGAAGCTGGGCAAGGAGACAGTTAGCTTAGCTTAGCTTAGCTTAGTTTAGCGTAAGGATTA